TTGGTGGTAATTCTCGTCCCAGTAGACAAGCAATTCATAGTCCAGTAAACAAATTTGAATCAACGGGTTGGTCGAGGTGCCGAGAATATTGCTGCCGTTCAAGATTCCATCGCAAACGAACAGAACACGTCGTTCCACGGTGTTTGTCAAGAATTGGGCATCGCTCAGACTACACTATGGCGAATTTTGCGAAGAGATCTTGACCTGCACCCTTATAGGATCAACTTAACTCAAGAACTAAAGCCGTTCGATCATATGAATTGGGCTCTAGAAATGTTGCAAGAAAATTACCAATTTCATCGCAAAATCATTTTCTGTGATGAAGCGCATTTTTGGCTAAACGGCTCCGTCAAGAAACAAAATATGCATGTACGTTATATAACCCTCATGTGCTTCAAAAAATACCACTTCATCTACCTAAAATAACTATGTTGTGGTTTTCTTGCCGGTGGTGTCATTGGGCCCGTTTTTTTTTGTTGATAATGGCTGTCACGTTACAGTCAACGGAGATCGCTACAGAGACATGTTGCAACGTTATTTTTTTAGTCAACTGGATATGTGGTTTCAACAATACGGTGCCACAAGACACACGGCGTTCGGTGCCACAAGCCACACGGCGGGTGAAACAATCTACATATTGAAATCAAAATTCGGTGAACATGTTATATCGAAAAATGGTCCCGTCGAATGGCCGCCTATGTCGTGTGATTTAACACCTCTAGATTTTTTTGTGGGGCTACATTGAATCATTGGTCTATGCCAACAAGCCGGCGTCGTTAAAGGAGCTCAGAGCCAATATTGAACATGAGATAGCGGCCGTTTCTGTCGACATGATGTGTGGTCGAGTCATTGAAAATTGGGTTCAACGAACGTGCTCGTGGTGAACATATGAACGAGGTCAAATTTTGAGTATACATACTTCAATACAACAATAAAATTTTCGAGATATCTGAAATTGTTTGCGTTTTTTTTTTTAAAAAGTTGTCAAGTCCTTAATGGAAAATCCTTTATATAATAATATTATAACCTATTCACCATTGATAAACATATTTTCAATGCATCAGCGACACGCTGTTAAGAAAATACGTAGATTAATAAATAAATAAATTCTATTTACTACCTCTTACGGACGGTAAAGGCGATAATGGAACTCAATTGGGTCTCGTCAAAGAAATGACGTCGACCCAGAGGTTTCGGCATTTTAGCAAAATGCTTAAAAGGACACCTCAAAGTTTTAAACAAAACTGCTTTTATAACATAACAATGCAAATATTGAGGAAAAAGAATGAAAATAAACCACAAATAAACCACAGCCGTTGGCGTCATTACGTGACAAGCTTTGCGACAATTTCACAACACAGAAAAATGTTACCAACATAAATGTACCCGGGAAATTCAAACTACACGTACCAATTTAGGATCTATTTTGCATTAAGGTTGGCATTCAAATTTACTGAATATGAAGTAACTGCTTTGTTTCAGTGAAAGGACTATATAATATAAGAATGTGCTTCAGTTCTGTTTTCACTTCCACATATCATGTATTTAAAAATGAAACATTTTTGGAGTTTGGCATTTTTTTAAGCACATACATATAACCTAAAAATTAAAGTTATTTCGCAAAATCTGTCTAAATGATCAACATAGTTTATCTTGGAAAATTATCTTCACTAATTATATTTCAGTAATAAAATGTTTTTCATTGAAATATGAGTGATTTTTCGAAAATTGAGTATTTAGTGGATTTTTGAACAGGGGGAATTCTATCTGACACATCTGGCAACCCTGACCAAACACGCCGAGAGTCGTTAAGATCAAATCAGCTGCCATTTTGGGCGATTGTATGGGCACAGAGTATGGGCGGCCACTGATCAGCGGTAGTACGAGGCCAGGCGAGCACGTGCGATTTTCGGTCGCACGACTGAAATACCGTGATAGCGGAAAAATGTATTTACACTTTTTTGGGATCGCTTTTGTGATCAATTAATCGTAACTACTTTTAGTACCATCATGGATTTTCTCTCAAACTGCTTGTGTGGTTGCGTTGATATTATAAAATACGACGTATAAAGCAATACTACGAAGCTGACCATATTATCAAAGCATGTTATGTTTTGAATAATTTCGTGCGGAAAAAGGATGGTTTACAAGTTGAGGATGAGTTATAAGAATCTCCTATGCAAAGCTGTCATCCAACTAGAATACGGGCTAACATGTGTGGTCTTAAAATCAGAGATTATTTTGCAAATTACTTTACATTCTCAGAAGGCTCAAGACCGTGGTAATATGATAAAATTTGAATTGTACCGTTTTATAATACCTGAGAATAAAGAAAATAAACAGCATGAAAATACATTTCTTTTGTTTTCCCGTTGCAGATAATTCCATCCAATTGCTTGTTGTAAAGAACAGGTCTTTTTCCCACCTTGGTAATTATTATCTCTGTGTCCAAGACACTATCTGGATGGTCATCCCTGGTGAACAATTCGTCGCCGGACATTTTAGAAAATCAGCAGCCCAACGCAGCGCGGCACAGTTGTTGAACAGTGAATTGCTATTAAGTAGTCGTAGGTGCGTGTACGTTCATTCGTGTCCCTGTGACTTAGTTTGATTTGCGATAATCGTGTCGCTTCCTGAATAGAACTGGTTGCATCTTTTTAGCCGCGGCGATTATGCGCGCATTTCTATTGAAAAACTGTGTGTTTCATTTTTACGACTGAACGATCGCGCGACTGAAAATCGCATGTGCGCGCCTGGCGTAACACGGGCAACTCATATGGAAGAATGGGAACCATAACTTGACAACACTGTTGGCACTCAGAAAAAAATGGCGGCTTTGACAAGTATGACGGTTTATTGCTGTCATTTTTAGTTAACCTCTCTTTTGTTTGAGTCTGGATGCACAAAACACATAAGACTGAAGCTGCACGTTAAGAGATGGCAACACCACTGACGTTTGTCAGATGGTTGCGCCGTCTACTTGCCTGGAGCATGCCAAGAATGCGCCTGGAATAAAGGATGCTAGGAATCTGCCGAGAATTTCGTTTGTTCCTAATTTGAAATCTGCTGATAATGATATTTCCCATATTGAAGGATTATTTTATGAACATATCTTCATAAAATGTCCCCAATAAGGGTAATATCTCTTTCAGCAGTTTTGCTGAGAACAAGGTTCAGAATAATAAAATCCAACACTAATTATGACGCACAAAATATATTTACTTTCAAAAAATAACCATATGCTGTTGACAATGGAAATTGTATTACATGAAGATATAGATAGATGTATTCCAAATTCAGGTTGTGTGTTGCAAAACACAAGTGTCTTGCTTCATTAAATTGCTTCTTGATAATTCTGAAGCAATACAGAAAACGCTAATGTAATTCATAATTCTTTGTGAAAAACCTAGTCACTTTTAAGTAATTTGCTCAGTTCTATGTCTAATTTGTTGGCCTAGATGCGCAGACTTTTACTTTATAAACCTTAGGGCTTTATGACTGTACTTTACCGATATTACCATTAATACAAAAAAAAAATCGTACTTTATATAACGGTGCCAACTACAAGGATTTAAAGAGGCTGATTCCTGACTTGCAATTTTAAATAATCGACCAACTGCATCATGCCAATATGTTAGGTTCAAAGCCTACCTGTAGCACTTTTTTTCTGTTTTAAGCAGTGAAGCCTTGTATGCGCAGAATCACCCTGTAGTTTGTTGGTGGCACAATTCTTCGTTTGGGTTCTGCGATTTTTTTCTGTTTTGCATTCTCAGATTCACTCTGTAGTCCCTTAACTTTTTGCAATGTATGAGTCTGTTGGTGGCACAATTCTTCGTTTGGGTCTTGCGATTTTTTTAGTTTTATATGTACTCCTGACACAAACGTGTCGTTTGTAGAAATCACCCTGTATAACCCTAATTTAGTTCAACAGGTATACAGTATTTACAGCGGTAGTACAATTAGGTCTTATAACAGTTGGAGCGTCATGTAAGAAATCATGTTTGGTATTTTTCCTATTAAGGTAGCACACTAGTGCCTGTTCTCGTTTTCCCGTTCACTTCACCACTGGTAATATCGAATTTTGAGATATTATCTAGAATAATTTGTTTAAAGCATTATTTAACATAAAGCAGCCATCAGGAGCCGGAAGTACCAGTTTTCTAGCATATCGGCGATTTGAGATCACTACTATTATAATTCTTATGAAAAATCTGGTAACTCTAGTAACCTTACAGTTGTTAAGGATAAATATTATTTATTTCTGAAATAATTTGTTTTCATCACTAATTCTAACAATTATTCCATGCAGGTGCTGCAGAAGACCATCACCAGAAATCGAAAATATTTGGACCATAAATATTATTGATGTGTTCATACAATATAAAATTTAGCTAAAAGTATATTCTCAAGTATAGATTTTTTTACTGTTCTCAAAATTTCAAATAACTAGAGTAGGTAGGGTTTGTATGTTCTAGAACGCCCTTGAGAGTCGACCTTGGGAGCTAACCTTGAACGCATATTTAACCTCGAAATGTGACCTTGAAATGTAACATTGAAACATGGCCTTGAAATATGACCTTGAAATGCAACCTTGAAATATAGCCTTGAAATGTGACCTTGAATCGAAATATGGCCTTGAAATATAACCTTGAAATATGACCTTGAAATGTGACCTTGAAGTCGTGAGTGGTAGAAGGTATGACCTTGGAAATATGTGTTTAAATTAGTGCAGCGCTCGGAGAGGAGGCAGTTCAGTTGTTGCGAGCATTGCAATAGCATGGTAAATATAGTGAAGAAAAGTCGGTGCTTAGTGTGTCAAACGGAGAAACGGTTGAAGTACTCTAAGGGGTGGCGCTGGGCGTGTGGGTGGTGCTGTTGCAGCATATTTCTGTTTTATTGTGGGACGTGTATGCAACATCGTCCCCATAAGATAGGCTGGATTTACGATACGAATGAGAAGGACGAGAAGTGTATCTTGTCTTTGTTAGACTCCCCATAAGATTTGGAAAACGTAGGAGTACGAGGAGGACTAGCCAGTGGGGTGATGTCAGGAGGGAATGGATTTCTAATTAAATGGAGTGAACTGCAAGATGGATATAGAGTGCGCTATCCATACGGATTGAGTTATGAAGGAAGTGTGAGGAATGCATATGTAGAATGGAGCGTGTGTCAAGAAAGCTATGCGAGGGGTGTAGAATGGAGCGAAGAACGTTGTCAGCAGTATTACTACATTGGTACGAGCATGATGGGCTCCATAGTATGTGAAAGGTGCATCATAGGAGCAAAGTATGCCCTATTTAGTATCTACGATGATGGATATGTTAATAAGATGCACATACATAGTAAGCACCTAGCAAAGTGCTTGTATTGTGAAAGAAGAATAGCATCGAGCAGTGTACGTCAGTGTGACAACAGTCCGTTGGGAGCGAAGCAGCTATATAGTTGCCGAAGAAGGAAGGTGTCGAAGTCATAGGGAAAAACAGGCGGTGTGATAAGGTAAGTGAAGATACTGAGTGTAGGGATGCAAATACAAGACAGGTAGTTTGAAAAATTTCAAAAATCAGTGAAAAAATAAAAAATATAGTGATAAATGTAAATTAAAGCAATTGGGGGTGACAACCCCTAGAAAGGGGTGAAAAAAAAATTGTAAAAAAATCAAAGCACAGTTTGGTAAAAGTTTGAAATTGATCGGTAATCAAACAACGGAGATATTAAAGATTTTTGTAAAGGGGTAGCAGCCCCCGATAGTAGAAGGAAGTATACGGATATAGTCAAGTGAGGTATCAAATTTAATGGGAACAAGTACTGGTATCGTGAAGAGATATAAAAACATAATTAGAGAAGAGTAGTGAGCTCGGGGGATGAGAGGGGTAGTAAAAAATAAAGTATAGGGGTTGAGATGTTTAAGTCGTTAAAAGTATGTCGTAGTAGAATGTCTTTATAATAGTGAAAATGTTAAATAGAAAAGTTTACAAAAAAGAGCAAAAAAAGGAAAAAAAAATTGTAGGGGTGTAAGTACTCATAGAATAAGACACGTAATAGATATATCTAAAAGTTTGAATTTTTTGATGAATTTAGGCGTCAACAGAAAAATTTTAGGAGTAATAATAAGAGAGAAAAAAATAAAGAAAAATTCACCCCCGGGGGATGAAATTGAGATAAGGGTATTTTTGAGCTCAAATGGGGGGTAATCACTATCGAAGGGGGGGAGGGGGGGGTGGGCGCTGGCCGCTGGAGTAGGGGGGAGGGTGAGGGTCTATGTCGAATCAAAAATTTGTTGGTGTCCGCGGACTTAGCACAGTTTGAATCAGTTTTGACAATTTTTTTTTAAATAATAACAAAAAAAAGTATGGGAATGAAGACAGCTAGTACAAGGGACCTATTTGTTCTTATGAAGTTTTTGTGTAGGGAGGGTAGTAACGAAGATATAGGGGGTGAAGTACCCCTAACATGAAAGATAAAATTTCATAACAGTATGTAGTGAAATGGATTACAGGGATTATAAAGAGACATAAATGCTAATAACAAAACGTTGTAGTATCACCAGGAAAACAGATATAAGGGTGAATTACCCCTAACCTAGATGGTATAATTTCATAAAAGTATGTAGTGAAATGGAATGGAGTGGTAATATAGAGATGGAAATGCTAATAACAAATTCTTGTAATATCACCAGGGAAAAAGATATAGGGGTATTATACCCCTAACATTAACTAAGCCATTTCTGTAAAATACTTATAGAAATCGAGGGTATCAGTAATTGGAAGACATAAACAATAATACAACAAAAGCATAAAGTCATTAGAGACAATGATGTGGGTGTAAATGACGCGTTAAAGAAAATTTTAAAATTTTTAAAATAAGTTTATGAACATGAAATTAATGTAATAATAATAAGAATGCATAGATGTTGTAAACTCTTTTATTGGGTTTGGGTTTATGGTCTTACGGCTAACGAATAGATAGTTAATGGTTCTAGTGTTTTTATTTTTTATTTATATGTTTCACAGAAACCTTAAAGCCTACAACCTTACAAATAAAATCTTAGACATAATTCCTTAAAACTAAAATGCATAACGATCCATCCATGATTAAGGACTGGTATACCCTGAATCTGTGGATGGATCATCGAGATCCCATACGAGATTGTCAATCCGAACTGCTTCTGGAATGTCAACCTCGAGTGGTTCGTCAAGAGGAGCAAGGTTGTTATGGAGATCTTCAATCTCCAATTCACCTTCCGACTCACTCTCTGACGAAGGTGCCTCCTCCGCATCTTCAGCCTCAGTTTCCTCGTCAGACTCGATGTCGGCTACGTCTGCTAACAGAGCATTACCGACATCGGGTGCAACACCTCCCGCATTGAATAAAATCAATGTGGATTCTGTGCTGTCAAAACTGAGCGGACTAGCCCAGCCATCTTCATGGAAGACATACAGATCATCTTGATCGCGACCATCCATGACGATGACTGAGACGCGAAGGAATGGAAAGGAGACCAGAGTGAATAGATATAGATGCTCCCCTCCTCCGTTGCCAGATGGTGGAAAATCGAGGTCGCGAAAGTATAATTATGGGATGTTGTGAAATGTAAAATCGAGCATAAACGATTATGGGGTAATAAATTTTGACTGTTAATTAAAAGGCAGATGGTAGATATCGCGAAGGTAGAAAGTCGTGAAAGGTGGGTAGGAGGGACATGTATTTATATCAGTGTCGATGGTGCACACCGTCACTGCAGTCTAAACGCTCCATATTGGACGCATCAGTAAAATAGTATATTATAAAATTGTTTTCTGTGTTAGGTTGCCAAAATGTGCTCAAGAGAGTGTCTGTGTGCGCCTGGAAAGCAGTGCAAGTACTGCACATTCTCCGATAGTCAGCGCCCAATTCTAGAAAAACTGTTGAAGCCCCAAGTTGTACGTATACTACAAAATGTTCAGGTTGTGCCACCACTTGAAACCGTTCGCGCTTCGATGCCTAGTACTTCGGCGAATGATGTATCCGTGGAAATTGTTAGCATGGGCTCGCAAACCATGCTTAACAATTTTATCGCCGACGGACAAAATGTGTCGAACGATGATGGCGACATCAACATTGAGGCATTGTTAGCATCCCTCAATCCGGACCTGGACAGTGCAACAATGATGGATGCGTACAATGCTTGGCCATCATTGGAACTGAGTTTGTTGGGAGCGGAGTCGAGGCCGTCCACGTCCAGAGCCACTTCGACACCCCAAGAGTCGTTGATGTCTGCCGCGGTCGCGAGTGAACGGTATGGTGCGGACGAGGAACTATATCGCCACACGTGGATCGAAGATTTGCCGTTCACGCAACTTGAACGGGCCGCGTGTGCGCGCGACGTCGAGTTGAGAGAACCGTTGGCACAACTTCAACAGATCGCGATGGAACTCAATCGGGATACGTGGATTGAAGATTTGCCGTTCACGCAACTTGAACGGGCCGCGTGTGCGCGCGACGTCGAGTTGAGAGAACCGTTGGCACAACTTCAACAGATCGCGATGGAACTAAATCAGGATACGTGGATCGAAGAATTGCCGCTCACGCAACTCGAACGGGCTGCGAATGAGGAGGGGGCTAGACAGTGAAGGGACAGTTAAGTTAAGAGGGATGAACTGGTTTCGCAATGGGCATCAACTACAGAATGTGCATATTGAGGCGCTGGATCTGCTGATGTTAAGGTACTACATACCGGTAGACATGTAGAGGTGTGACAAAAAAAAACATGCAAAGGGTTCAAAACAACGTACAGCAGCTAAAATATTTTTTTGTTTCAGATGCGACATAAGCAGATCCAGAAGATGGTGTGGTGGCTGCCGCCTCCCCGTGGCCACACTGGATAACGCTAAGCGCAGCCGAATATATATATATATATATATAATGATTTTGTTGCAGGAACAGAGTAAATACGTACACGCTTCACGATGTTCCAATGTCTAAAGTGCGAAAGGACCTTCACGGCGAGAAAAAATTTGTTGAAGCACGGTAGAGAGCGGTGCAGCCAAGATGGTGAGCCAGCATCGAAGCGCATCTGTCTTCGAGATGGAACAGGTATTGAACAATTAGAAAATAAAATCGAATAAAATCACTAACAGAATTATCTGTTTCAGCATCCTTTAACCAGGAAGGTGGTACCTCCAGCATTCCCCAATCCCCAAGTCTCGAGGACAGTAATGCATCCTCTTCGCGCCGCACTGCAGACAAGTTGCAATGTTTTCGATGTCAGCACACCTTCTCAGCACGCCATAATTTACTGCGACATCTTAGAGAGGTCTGCATAAGCGAGAAAAGACCTTCCAAGCAACAACGTATGGAGGGTGAGATTACTAACAATGAGCCAACTATTGCAGATTTCATCACCCAGACAGCCGCAGGTGTCAACATTAGACGAGTGAACCCTGCAACACCCCCCGTCGCAGTGCCTGGAACCAGTCGAATGAGTCCTACACCATCCGACGTCGTAGTGCCGGGCGCAAGTCGAGAGAGTTCAACCACCGGCAACGATTCACAAGCGAGTGCGGGTAGCAGGACAATTCGCTGTGAGAGTTGCAGCTGTGAGGTATCGAGGAATGCACATGCGGCACATCTGAAAAGCATTAAACATAAGGCACATCTATGGAGACCTTTACAAAATAATGTGTCAGTATGTCGAAGTGCATTCCGAGGTAGAATAGTTAGTTATCAAATAACCGCTAGCATAGAGACTTTGAACGTTACTGAATATATGAATAATGTGGCACAGGACTCCATAAACGTAATTGAAAATGAGTTGCATAAGCATACAACACTCAAAATAAATATGGAACTTTTTGGTTTATATATTTTACCAGCTAAAAACCGACGAGAGGTAAAGTCCCACAATACGAACAATGTAATAATTACACAATCCTCAAATTTGAATCAAATCTATTATGATCTAGGTAGTAAAATCGAACAAAAATCGAAAGACTTTGCAGAAAAAGACTCAGGGTGGGTGTTGGAAAACATTTTATATTTAGAAATTAATATTAATAAATATAATCCGTTGAGGGCAGCAGCATATTTGCCGCTTCCTAAGGAAATCACGAACAAAAAAGCTGTACTCAACATACGTAACACGGATGAGTACTGCTTTGCATGGTCGATTGTAGCTGGTATGATAAAACCAAAGGGTCGAGCGTCACTAACAACGTCATATCCACATTTTTCGAACATTCCTGGTTTAAACTTTGCAGGAATGGACTTTCCAGTTGCTCTCAAGTCAATATCAGAATTTGAAAGATTGAATAATATGTCAATTAACGTTTATGGAATAGAAAAGGAATTCATTGATGGAAAGTCTAAATATCAGGTGGTAGGACCGTTACATTACACGGCGCAAAAACAACCCACTCATCTGAACTTATTACTTATTGATGATTCAGAAGGTAACCATCATTACTGCTTAATTACCAACTTTTCAAGACTCGTTTCAAGTCAGTTGTCACTTAATACGAGAGTAAAGCATTTTTGTGATGGCTGTTTACAATACTTTGCATCAAAAGACAAACTGGAAATTCACATCCAAAACTATTGCAAACACATTTCAGTTAAGCTGCCCCAACTGGAAACCAGAGTTGATCGCCTTGGAAACACGGTAATGGATAATGTGCTGAAATTTGAACAGCATCACAAACAATTAAGACTACCGTTTTGCGTTTATGCGGACTTTGAATGCATCCTAGCTCCGATAGACAATCACTCAAGTGCTTCAGAGGATGTATGTACCATCAAAAAGTATGAACATAGACCCTCCTCAGTTGCTTATTATATTAAATGTTCTTATAATGATTCACTATCCAAGCTCGAACTGTATAGGGGTGAGGATGCTGCACAAATTTTTGTTACGCGTTTAGAGGCTGATCTTAAATTAATATATGATCAATATTTAAAACAAAATGTAGCGATGAAAATGACGGCGCACGATAAAAATGTGTTTGATAAAGCAGAGGTATGTTTCATTTGTGAACATCCATTTACCAATACAAATAGAAAAGTTAGGGATCACTGTCATTTCACCGGGCAATATCGTGGCGCAGCACATAGCAAATGCAATCTAAACTATAAGATCCCAAAATACATTCCAATATTTTTCCACAACCTCAAAAACTATGATGCACATCTATTCATAAAACACCTCGCTATGAAGCAAGAACAAATTAAAGTGATTCCACAATCTTTTGAAAAATATGTTTCATTTACGAAATTGATACCTGTAGACACGTACATTTCCCACGAGGGAAAATCACAAACTGTATTTTTGCAGATGCGATTTGTCGATTCATATCAGTTTCTATCGTCAAAATTAGAAACCTTGGCATCCTTTTTAAGCGCAGAACAATGTCGGACGGTACGAAAAGTCTTTCCTGAGGACGAAAAGTTCTCCTACATGAGATGCAAAGGTATATTTCCATATACATATCTTAATAGGTTTGATAAATACGATGAAACATGTTTACCATCCCAACAAGACTTTTATGATGAAATACGTGATGAACACATTTCTGACGAGGATTATGAGCGAGCACGTCATGTCTGGGAAGTAATGGGGTGTCAAAATTTGGGGGAATACTCTGATTTTTACTTGACTTCGGATGTTCTTCTTTTAACAGATATCTTTGAAAATTTCAGAGATTTGTGCTTAAAAACGTACAAGCTTGATCCAGCTCACTATTTTACAGCCCCCGGTTTGAGTTGGGATGCGATGCTACGATACAGCAAAGTAGAGTTACAGCTGCTTACAGATGTTGATATGATTCATTTTTTTAAAAAGGGAATTCGGGGGGGAGTCAGTACATGTACCTCACGTAAAGTTGAGGCGAACAATAAATTTCTACCACATTACGATCCGTCAAAGGCATCATCGTATTTAGTTTACCTTGATGCAACAAATTTGTACGGTTATACGATGCAACAGTACCTACCAACTGGTAATTTTGCATGGTTAACACGAGATGAGATGGATAGGATTCAAGAGACAATTACACAGATTTCGGATACATCGGATATTGGGTATGCATTAGAAGTCGATTTAACCATACCGACTGAGCTACATGATTATTTCAACGATTTACCATTTTGTCCAGAAAATTTTAAACCACCCGACAGTCAAAGCTCAAAATTAATTCCAAATTTGCACAACAAAGAACGCTACATTATCCATTATCGTAATCTAAAGCAATGTTTGAAACATGGTATTATTTTAACAAAAATTCATAGAGGCATTAAATTCACACAATCTGCCTGGTTGAAGTCCTACATACAGTTAAACACCACACTTAGAAATGCAGCACTGAATCCTTTTGAAAGAGATTTGTTCAAACTAATGATCAATTGTATTTTTGGAAAAACCATTGAAAACATGGAGAACAGAGTCGACATCAAATTAGCTACTCAATTTGAAAAATCTAAACATAAAATAGGTGCTGCAAATTATATTAGTAAACCAACTTTTAAAGAGCACAGAATATTTTCTGAAAACTTAGTAGCCATTCAAATGGAAAAAACAATGATTGATTATTGTCGTCCCACATATGTTGGCTTTTGTATTTTAGATGTCTCAAAAACGGTAATATATGACTTTTTCTATGACTTTCTGAAGCGTCAATATGGTGATAAGGTGTCTGTAGCTTACACGGACACTGATTCGCTAATAGTACATGTTGAAACCGATAATTTCTATGAGGACATGAAATCACACATACATTACTTTGACACATCCAATTATGATGCTTCCAACCCACATAATATGCCTCAAACAGCGTCAGAGTTGGGTAAGATGAAAGACGAATATGCTGGTAAGATACTGTCTGCATTTTATGGTACAGGTCCCAAAGCATACTGTATAGATGCGGTAGACCAAGTAGCTAAACGAGCCAAAGGTATATCTAAGGCGAGTGTAAAAAATCAGTTACATTTGCTACATTATAAGGATATTGTTGAGGAGAAACGGACATCTGTATACTGTACGATTTATGTATTTAAATCGGAGTCGCACAATATCTACACAAATTATATAAAAAAAGTAGCATTGACCAGTACGGATGATAAACGTTTCTTGATACCAAACTCAACAAAGACATTAGCTTGGGGTCATCAAGATATATTATTTCATAACATGTCACATGAGGAGCGCTTGGATACATTACTGCACTTGATGCAAGAAGCCATTGTGTTGAATAATAAGCATCAGATAGCATGATCATAGAATAGGGGTTTGTGGTGGGGACAAGAATATAAATATATTCTTAACAAACGCACCTCATTCAGTTTCAAAGATGAGTACTACGACATACTATTCACTGTACATGCAATTGTGTCATGTAACTGAAGAGGTGTTGAAAAAACAGCTTCGACAATTTGTGACTCGAAATCCAGAAAAACAAGAATTTCCAGTGCTGGACTTTGTGCTAGAGGAAATTACAATACCTGACGAAGTATTCAATTGGATTACCAATGCCCACAGTTGCCATCCCCACGTGCTTTCCAGTGTAATAACAAAAAAGAAACATCTAGATTGGGTGGTACAGGAAACACTGCAAAGTTTAAAAGAGAGAGATTATGAGGTTTTAAGCATCAAAGAATTTGGAGACCTACTGGATAATATGCCCTACACACCATCAGCATATGAACAATATTATTTATGTAAGTTGTTATCTGATAGTAACTATGAAGATGTAGATAAACCGCATCCTGTAGAAAATATTACGAAGAGGTATAAAGACATTGTATCACATATCGATGAAAGCATCTGTAAAATCGCATATCTAGCTGATTGTGTATCACTAGAACGTTTAATCGATATTATACAGCAGCATGATATTAAATTTGTATTTGATGTAGAAAATAAGATGAGACATTATACTGTATTGAAATGGATAAAGAAAAATATAGCCAGGGTAACATTGGAGATGAAACCCTCGGATGGACCTCTGGACCCTGTAGTGTGAAATGGCCATCCACCAAATTCGAAGATTATGTAGCATGTTTAAAGATCTTGTGTGATTTATCCAAAACGTAAATACTCTGTGTGTGACAAAATTCATTAATATATATATATCTATGTCAGCATGAACGGTAGTATCATTTTCCCTTGCACTTGCGTCAACTTTTGGGAGGGGGAAGTTGGTGAATGGAGGGGTGATCAACACTGTATAAAGTTAGCCACGAAGCTTCATATACCAGTCTTCTGAATTTCACATAACGTTACAACATGAGTGCCGGTGTGCAAAACGACAAGGGGGTACGATCTGTACAAAGTGGGGTAGATCAGACACCGTTAATTGTCATCCAGGAGCAACGATATCATCTAAATCCATCGAAATCAAAATGGATAAGCATTGTCGAGCATATCAGTGGAGCTTCCACCCTGTAATCAATATCAGTGGTTTGAAAAACAATGGCGTTACGTTAAATGAAGAAGACTGGTATGAGATATTAAATCAAGAAGGCGTTATAACCAATTTTTTCTTCAGTGATGATATTTTCCATTCGATCAGTGCCAACTCCGTCTGTATCACCTTTGAGAGATTTCCAGATTTTCAAACAATCAAAATTGAAGATCGATGGAGAAACTGTCGTTTATTTGGGTAAGGAGACCGTATTGAAGCTATTTCAATTAGCCCCGCTGATTGCCTACACCATTAATATGCTGAAAACTCAGGAGTTTAATAAGTATTTCAACACACTTGTCCAAGATGTGCGAACCACCAACATGGATGTGCGAGACTTCGTGATCCAACACATCTCTGATTTGCCGCATTCGGAGAACATCAGGACTGCTATGGAACTGGCATACCAACATCCAAACTTGAAGGAATTCAACAAGGCTCCAACGCTGAAATTTTATTCAGACTATCCTAACTATTCTGTAAAGTCATTGTAATTAAAAAGAATTTTAAATTACTTATCGTGTTTTATTGAAAAAGCTGTGTTATAAACTGATTGGTTTAAATATATACATGTCATGCAAGTAAATCACTTTTTCTAATCCACGAATTATGTCTGTTATCCAGTCCTAAGTACTTGACTAACACTTTATTTTTTTTACGTCGCACCACTTTCTCTACAAGATAGATATTTGGATACTTGACTTTTTGAAGCTCCTCAGCGTAAATCCACCTAGAATCTCGTCACCGCTCGAATCAGCCAGTAAGTATGATGTGGATTGGTATACTGTATTTTACGGATTGTGAAAATTTCATTGGACCAGTTAGGAGTGTATCCTTTAGCAAATGCTGTCCTATGTTTGCTTATGCGGACATGATCTCCACGTTGATATTTTACACCCTTTGGATCTAACGTTTTCAAATGTGTGTATGCCGTTCTCAACAGTGTTTTTGCTGTACTTTTGTTCACGTCTTTGGGTTTTCATCCCAATTGTGCTGTGTTTGGTGTTATTATATGCATCAACAATTGATGATAGGAGATCTAACCATTTATACGATCCCTGAAAGCTGAACTGCTTCCACATACGATTCTTCAAAGTGCGATTCACCCTTTCAACTACACTTGCTTTGGTCGCTGAGTAGGAGCTGTAATGATTAATTTTGTACGCTTCCATTAACTTCTTAAAGTCACTATTGTAGAATTCTTTACCCAGGTCTGTTTGTAAATTTTTCGGAATTGTCTGCATTTGCGATAAAATTGTACTCATTGCAGCTGTCACATCTTTTCCAGTTTTTCGTTTGACTGGTTCTGCCCACACAAATTTACTAAAAACGTTGATGACAATTAAATGTAACGGAATCCTTTGTTAA